TCTTATTAAAAAATTAATTTTTTTCTTGGTTTAATATTTATCAGCCGATTAAAAGTTTTTATCTTTAAATCTGTATTATCATTTTTTTTCTTTGATGTAATAACTTTAAGTTTAACAATCTAATAAAGTCTCATGCATTTTGATTTAGATCCAGTAGAAACTTCAGCAGATATAACCCACCGCGATCCACTCCACGTTCCAACCCTTTTCATTCGCAACACCGCCTCTGCCATCTGGAGCGAACAGGTACATCTTAAATGTGCTGGTAGTCGCCCTGTAAATCTCCGAGCTCCCTGTCGTTTTCCAATGAGACTTGGTGCCCTCAAGAGAGGAAGTCACAGTTGGAATTGTCACGAACCCACACTTGCTGATGTCAACTTCTGTGTAGATTCCATTCGAGCTAGTATCCACCCAGTTGGTTGCTCCCCTGACTGAGGTTCCAGCACACACTTTCGCACAGCGCTCCTCCCTCAGATCCTCCTCTCCGCTAACCACCATCACGTCATTCTTTCTGGCTCTGCGACGAGAAAGGTTTAAATTTACAAATCAACTTCATTAATTATTGCAATAGTTAAACTCTCGGAGAATTTTCCTCGCGAATTCAAGGAATCATATATTAATATAACTACTGCTATAAACTGTTTACTTACTTCAATTCGTTGATCTCTCTTGTGATGTCACTGATCTTCTTTGTCTGCTGTTCGACTAGAGCTGTTAAACTGCGTAACCCCCCCTTCTTATCACCCTTCTTGCTTGAAGCGAGAATGATCGCTACTGCAGAGAACACCATCAATTTCAGGAAGGCCATAGTTCTGCTGAAGCATCAGAAAGTTGTGGTTAATTTTTGTGAGATTAAAAACGGAATAGTCACGGCATGATTTCACTACGATAAACGCATATTTTATTTATGTTATCTCAGTCTCCAACTCACAAGATGAAAGATATGGACTATTATTACTATTTATAATGAGGAGAAACTGCGGCCGATGAGATATAGAATTGAAACCAAATAGATTCAATTTCTAACCACATGGTCAACCATCGATCGAAACTCATAAGCATAACTAACATTTCTATGATCAAGAATTATATGAATTCAAAACTGTCGGAAAAGGCCTTTGGGAAATTAGAACCATAGAAGCCATGACCATGTTCACTTTGAAATTTAGATTTTGGACGAATATTTGACGAGGCAGCAAAAGAAATAGTGGTCAACTGGATCGAACTTATCTTATTACATTCCATACCTTTAGCTTTTATCGTTTGAATTGCGTCATGATAACACGTAGCGTAGCTGTAAGTGGTAAGGGAGCGTTCACATGTGAAAATCGCAATTTCTCCCCAGTTGTTGCTATCTTGACGTTAGGCCTGCCGGTAACTCGTCCTATGTTCTTATAGTCAGTGTAATAAGCGCCAAGCGCGAGCACAGAACTTTATTTCTCCGATTTCGATAAATTTGGTACCAAAAGTTGTCTAAAAATGTGAATAAAATAAATCCACCGTGTAGCAATTTTCGCTAAAAATGCTACACGGCGCTTGTTCGCCGCACGTGCTTTTTTTGCGCAAATTTTTAGTTTTTTGGCCTATAACTTTCACATTTTCAATTATTACCACATAGTTATTATGGTATCGTAATCAGCTCATCGAGACGAAACTTTTAGTACTAATATTCTAAGATTTAAAGGAATTTTTTTTCAAAAGTTTTTAATCTGAACACAAGGGTCCCCCCCCCCTTGTGTAAAATTTGAACAAATTTTCGAAAAATTTGGTGCTTTAAATATTATAATTTTGGTACCAAAAATTGCGTTTGATTAAGTTCATTACGATCCTGTAAGAATTATTTCAAAATATTCAATATTTTAGGAGTTATAGGCATTTTAAGCAATAAATTAACCATTTTTCGTCCTTTGTACACTTTTGCAATGCAGAGGAGGCCCACATACATCTCGACGTTATCGTGCTACACGGTGAATTTTAATTATTCACAGTTAAAGGCAACTTTTGGTACCAAATTTATCAAAATCAGAGACAAAAAATTCTGTGGCAACTCATGGCGCTTATTACATAGACTATAACCCTCTAATCTGATCCCAACCCTAACCCTAACCCAATTCGTAACAAAAGCATATGCTGAAACTCTAACCCTAGGCCTAACGAGAAATTAGACTAACTTCCTTATACGGTCATATCACGTGATCGAGACAGTTTTTCGCCAATATCTCGTCAGGGGAGCATTTTAACCCTATTATGTCATGGGGGTGATTCGGAATCAGCGTCCGCAAATACATCGATAGCAGTTGATTTCAACTGTCGGGGGCCCTTTTACAACAATCTCGAAAATCGACTGTATAGCATGATTTAGCACGCTCGTGCTTTTGGTCCCATGGAAAAATATTGTTCCTAGCCGAAATTATCGCCGGTCAAAGGTCAGCGCTTATCACAGTGCTGGCAAGCACGACCGTTGCATTTATTGTGGGTATACTATGTTCCCCATTTACTATTATACCCCCTTTACGGCGGCCGCCGCCTCCGGCAGGAGTTTTCCAGGCATTAAGACTCATCGGAAGTCGTTAAGCAGAATTATTTTTAGTTCAAAACATTCTAATTTGATGTCAAAGATGACAGGAATAAAAAATAGTTATGTTGAGATTTTTAAGAAATTTGCATAAAATACTCGCCAGCACTGTTATACGAAAAAACCCAAAATCGCCATATTCAGGTGCCTTAAAAACCATGTTAAAATTGAGTTAGAGATCTGAAATTTTTCAGGGCGTCTAGACGTTGATCAAATCGACTGCAAAAAAAGTTTCAGGTTTCAGGAGTATCGGGAAATGGGTTTTCTAGAACCCCTGTTTTACGACAGATTGTCGTGATATATATATACATACATTTTACCAAAACCCATAATCATGGGTAGAGTGGACCGCTGCCAGTGTCTCTCTTTCCCAAACAAAAGGAAATGATATTAATTTGATTGACCGTTCTCAAATGCAAAATGATACCGAGAATGAAATCGGTCGCTCGCTTTTCCCATTCATTCACGGCTTACGAATTGTATAAATAAGTTTCGATTGATTACATCAATCAGATGCTGTAAAAATATCTTTGGGTTGCGTTCGGGTAGATACCTAGTATTTCGGGGTAAGGGACAAGGGTGGTAGTTATTACTTATTGAACAAGCTGAAGTTTATTGAATCTTCATTGCCGAGTACAGCTGCCTTTGGGTAGTTCTTCTTAATCTATTACAATTGTAAATGAATGGGAAAAGCGAGCGACCGATTTCATTCTCGGTATCATTTTGCATTTGAGAACGGTCAATCAAATTAATATCATTTCCTTTTGTTTGGGAAAGAGAGACACTGGCAGCGGTCCACTCTACCCATGATTATGGGTTTTGGTAAAATATCATCTCTTTTTGATTATAATGTCAGGGTACTTTATAAAGTCGAAATATAAACTGATATCTTCATTAATATAAGGAGGAAGTTTCAACGATTTCGAAATTTTTCCTTTAAAAACATTTCCTTGTGTTTAGGGAAGCATATCGGTCGATCACTGACTGAATATGCCACTTAATACTCATTCAAGTTGGCATTAAATTCATATATAATGACATTAAACTGTCGTGGCAAAGCAGAATTTGTTGGAAATCACGAATGAACAAAATTCTCACCTTTCGCACGTGCAAACTTTGAGCGGACGTTGCGTGCGCATCCAATATTGAATCACCGTAAATTTTTGCATGTAATTGTTTTATATATAGCTTGATAAGCATGCAACGTTTCAAAGTATTTCAAGAAGAACTGTAATCACAACGGCACTCTAAAGTTGACAGAAAATGACGAAAACAGCAATTTTCAGTGATTTTAGCAATTTTCTATCAATTTGGGCGTGTCCCCACTTGTGCAACTTTTCGATTTTTAACTTTAAAACTAGCCTAATGCACAATTTATACCTATAGGAAGCAGAACTGAGCTCCACAACCCAAGGCATGGCCCAACACCAGAGAATACTAAATCGCAAAATTGACGTTTTTATAAAATAATTCTTCAAAAAAGCACAAACTTCAATGACGAATATCTTTATGAAGGAGCAAGCTAGAAAAACTTTCCGGTAGATTTTCAGAATGCTTGAACAATTATCTAAGGTGAAAATTTCCTCAGATTTTGAATAAAATTACTCCTTAATGGTTTAAAATTAATTTTAAAAGTTATTACTTTGTCAAAAATCAAGTTTTTAAAATGGTTAACTTGATGACGTCATCAAGGGGTGTTTATGACGTCAAATAATTTTTTTATACAATGTAAACGAAAGTGTAAACAATTATTTGCAAGACCTGTGGTCGGAAATGGCTGTATCTTTTATACTTTTGAATCTATGGACACTTAAATACAGGCTACAATTGACTGGCAAAGCGTCTATCCCTGAATATATATGTATATCTGTATGTATATCTTTATATGTCCCGACAATCTGTCGTAAAACAGGGGTTCTAGAAAACCCGTTTCCCGATGCTCCTGAAACCTGAAATTTTTTTTGCAGTCGATTTGGTCAACATCTAGACGCCCTGAAAAATTTCACATCTCTAACTCAATTTTAACGTGGTTTTTAAGGCACCTGAATATGGCGATTTTGGGTTTTTTACCGAATTTCGTATAACAGTGCTGGCGAGTATTTTATGCAAATTTCTTAAAAATCTCAACATAACTATATTTTATTCCTGTCATCTTTGACATCAAATTAGAATGTTTTGAACTAAAACACTACCAAAGGGGGTATAATAGTTAAGGGGGTATAATAGTAAAGGGGGTAAATAGTAAATGGGGAACATAGTATACCCACAATAAATGCAACGGTCGTGCTTGCCAGCACTGTGATATTCAGGGATAGACGCTTTGCCAGTCAATTGTAGCCTGTATTTAATTGTCCATAGATTCAAAAGTATAAAAGATAAAGCCATTTCCGACCACAGGTCTTGCAAATAATTGTTTACACTTTAGTTTACATTGTATAAAAAAATTATTTGACGTCATAAACACCCCTTGATGACGTCATCAAGTTAACCGTTTTTAAAACTTGATTTTTGACAAAGTAATAACTTTTAAAATTAATTTTAAACCATTAAGGAGTAATTTTATTCAAAATCTGAGGAAATTTTTACATTAGATAATTGTTCAAGCATTCTGAAAATCTACCGGAAAGTTTTTCTAGCTTGCTCCTTCATAAAGATATTCGTCATTGAAGTTTGTGCTTTTTTGAAGAATTATTTTATAAAAACGTCAATTTTGCGATTTAGTATTCTCTGGTGTTGGGCCATGCCTTGGGTTGTGGAGCTCAGTTCTGCTTCCTATAGGTATAAATTGTGCATTAGGCTAGTTTTAAAGTTAAAAATCGAAAAGTTGCATACGTGGGGACACGCCCAAATTGATAGAAAATTGCTAAAATCACTGAAAATTGCTGTTTTCGTCATTTTCTGTCAACTTTAGAGTGCCGTTGTGATTACAGTTCTTCTTGAAATACTTTGAAACTTTGCATGCTTATCAAGCTATATATAAAACAATTACATGCAGAAAGTTACGGCGATTCAATATTGGATGCGCACGCAACGTCCGCTCAAAGTTTGCACGTGCGAAAGGTGAGAATTTTGCTCATTCGTGATTTCCAACAAATTCTGCTTTGCCACGACAGTTTAATGTCATTTTAAATGAATTTAATGCCAACTTGAATGAGTATTAAGTGGCATATTCAGTCAGTGATCGACCGATAAGCTTACCTAAACACAAGGAAATGTTTTTAAAGGAAAATTTCGAAATCTTTGAAACTTCCTCCTTATTAATTAATGAAGATATCA